ATAAGGATTGCCAGGGGTGTCCGCCGCGCGGCCCGCGGACAGCTCGTCACCTGGTGACGCACGACGCGATCACTACCCCCGTCCCCACCACCCCCGCCGACCTGAGCTGCATGCTGACGACGTGCCCCGCCAACAAGGCCGCCCTCGTGCCCAGCCTGTGCCGCTGTCAGGCGTACTTCGAGTGCAGCGACAAGGGCGAGGCCCAGGCGCGGCTCTGCAAGTCCTGGCAGAACTTCCACCCTATCAAGAAGGAGTGCGTGTTCTGGGACCAGGTGGACTGCACCTGGCCCGGTAGCATCACCACCAAGGCGCCCCCGGCCTCCACCCAGGCGCCCCCAGTCCCCGGCTGCGACTTCGTCCCCAGCTGCCCGTCCACCGGCTCCTCCAAGCAGGGGATCCCCTGCAAGGACTCGTGCAAGTCGTACATCCAGTGCAAGGACGGCAAGTGGACCAAGGAGAGCTGCGGCTGGCTGCAGCCCTCGTTCGACACCAAGTCCGGCAAGTGCGTGATGTGGGGCGCCGTGTGCGCCGCCTAAGCGTCAAGGCGAAAACGCAGAAAATGAGTTGAATAAAAGAATCGACCCAGGACAACGTCTTCCAATCTTGTACCCTCCTCCCTCCAGCATGACCAACACCCATGACCAAAAAAACAATGTCAAGATAGTGTAGATAAATTTATTTTTGGAATTTGTTACATTTTAGTAATAAAAAAAAATCTGCTGAAGAACTGTTTTCATTTGCATGTGTGACACAACCTCAGATAACCCGCCGTTCGTTCGGATGGTAAGAGTTCACGAAAAAGTAAACAATAATCTGCGCGTTTGGAAGAAATAATCACTCGTCGCAAATTACATGCAACTCGCGGCGATAATAGTTCCACTAACACACCTGACATTTGACGCACGCCCGCACTCGGCACTCGCCGGCTTCTAATCATTAACTACTGATAAGGCGTCCGTGAAATTGTGAAGTCCACTCGCTCGCAGCCCGACCCGCCGCACAGGCGGGTGAGGCGCGCTGCCGCCCCTCCGGTATGCAGGGGCAGCAGAGCCGGGCGGAGCGGGGAGTGGGGAGGGGGGACATTAAGCAGCGGTCGCGGTCCTGGCAGGCAGATGACACTGATTTGGCGGAAATTCACTGTCGGTTGGGGTAATGATCCCTCCCCCCCCCCTCTCTCCCTTTCTCTCTCTCACTCACACACATACATACAATTGTGATGACACGAAGGGGGGGACTTCTCCCAACGAGCGGCGCGCCGGCCCGCCGCTCCTGGGTCTGGGCCCCACGCCCCGGGGGTCTGCTTCTTAATATAGTCCTCCCCCCGTCCTCCCGCTCGCCCGCCCGCGCACCCCGCCCCGCCCCCCGCCACCCCGCGACATCCGTGCTGCGGCTGCCGAGCGGTCCAAGAGCGCCGCGGTCCCCGGGGCGTCCCAGGGGGCGCCCGGGAGGACGCCGTCAAACGCCTGTGGCCCGCCGAGCAGCCAGGGAGCGAGCGAGTGTGCGGGAGTGCAGCAAGCGAGCCGGGCGGGGACCTCGTGGAGCCGCGGGGGGACAGCGGGCTGCTCTTGTTCCAGGGCGCAGCCTCCAGCAGCGAGGCCGCTGCCATCCTCGCCGCCATGGCCGACATGTCGTGCTTGTCCGTGTCGCTCTTCATCATCGTCCTCACGTGCTTCCTGGCGTCCGTGGCGCGGCGCGTGGCCGTGCGCCGGACCCGCGGCCGGCCGCTGGTGCGCGGGCTGTTCCTGGAGGGCATCGCGACGGCCGAGCTGTGCGGCTGTTGCTTCGAGCTCATCATAGGTGCGGTCGCGAGTTGCTATCTTATCTGGCGCGCCCCACCGGCCCCCGTGTCATGAGCTTGTCCTGCGTGCTGGTCCGCAGTGGCCGACAACTTCGGCGTGCTCGCCTACGCCGGCGTGCTGTTCGTGCTCACCGTGTGGTGGTCCAACGAGTGGGGCGACGCCACGGCATGCCCCTACACGCACCTGGAGGACGTCCTGGACGGCAAGGCCGACGTGAGGGAGGCCGCCCTCAAGATCTGGGCGCAGCTTACCGGCGGCGTGCTCATCTTCCGGTGAGCCGAGCGCCGCCGCGCCTCAAGTTGCTGCTGCTGCTCGCCCAACTGCTCACTCAGGACTCACTCTGGCTGCAGGTACATCCAGCTGCTGTGGTGGCTGGAGCTGTGTGACACGCACAAGAACAGGGCCTTCGAGGCGTGCACCGCGGACTTGCAGGTAGGTGGTGGGGCACCTCGTCCAGAACCTGGTCCAAGACCAGGGCGCGACGGTGCGCGGTGCCGACGCCCCGGTGGCCGGCCGCCGCGCACTGGGGGAGCTCCGCCTCCGCGCGCCACAGCAAACGTAGCCGACAAATCAAACATCCGACATTGGCCTCGCTGGTCCCGCGGATAAGTCAATTGTCGCACAAGGAGCGCCCGCTCTAGTTCTGTGTGGTGGTCGTGTCGTGGCCGCCGGGGCTGACCCTCTTTGGGCTTGCAGGTGCCCGTCATGGCGGGCGCCATCATCGAGGGCGTGGCGACCATGCTGTGCCGCCTCGCGTCGAGGACCATCGCCGACCTGCAGCCCAAGTTCTCGTCCATCATCGAGTCCTTCATCGGAACCTCTCTCGTCGTCCTGGGTAAGCACGGCACCGAGACCGCCGCGCGTCGCCTCAGTAGTGTAACTAACTGGACAGGCTTTCTCTGATCGGCCGTCGTCGCCGTGCTCTGTGCCCGCAGCGTTCAACTTCTCCGGCGGCTACTTCAACCCCGCGCTCGCCACGGCGCTCAAGCTCGGCTGCAAGGGCCACACCACCTACGAGCACCTCATCGTGTACTGGGCGGGCGCGTGCGCCGGCGCCGTGGCCGGCACCGTGCTCTACAAGGTCCCCGCCGTCAAGCGGCGCCTCCTGGGCGAGGACAAGGCCAGGAAGCTGCTCTAGACGTCCCGTTTGGCCGGGCGGTTTGTGGACAGCTATTTGCGGGGTTTTCGGGTCACCTGAAACAGGACGCAGGTCCTGCTCCATGCAATCACGCAACCGCAGATAGCCGGCCGCAAACCGCATCCTCGATAATTCATCAGGGCTACTCTGGAACTGTCTGCTCGGCAACCAGGGGTGAATTTAATGTCCACAGGAGTCTTCAAGGCGGGATTTTCGCGCCACTTGTTCGAATTGATATCGTACCGCCCTGCGGCGGACTACTGAGCTGTGTTCCTGGACTCGGCACGGTTTGGCTCGACTAGAAGACGCACCTTGGAGAGCTAGGGAGGACAAGCCGAGCCAACCCGCAGCGGTTTGTCTTTGATTTAAAATTGAGGAGCGAAAGTCCCGCCTCGAATGGAACAACCTGTGTACTACAGTCGGAAGGCGGATGGTTCACAGGTCAATCATTTACGAAAAAGAATCGTCCTTGCCATTTTCAATCGAACGTCTAGTCTGGAAGGTTGTTGCTGCATGAGGAACGAGTGGTATAGGCAGCTCCAAACAACCTTAATGGTTACCCTATACTTGCCCATCGAGCATTTTTCCTGTGCACTGAGTACTTTTTACAAAGAGAACAACTTTAAAAAATATCCCATACAGGCACAGAAATGCAAGCCATGGCAAGTGGGAACGTAATGATGGAGCCATAAACCATACTGACCTCATTCCAGAATGCCTAATTCCGTCCAAGGTGCTGGAAATTGTCACTTATGTATCTGCCTTAAATAGAACACTATCAGGCTGATATTGCCAGTTACCTACTGCTATTTAATTTTGAAGTGCATAATTGTGTGTTGATTAAGAGTATTTCTCATATTAGCTCTCTACTTTTTAATGTGATTTTTGAATTGTATATTTTAATTAGATAGATATATTTGAGAGTGAAGAAAAAGCATGTTTTAGCTTAAGTGTAGCATCTGCTCTGAACCAATGTACCTGTCAACATGTTTCTGTCCGAATAAAGCAAATGGTACTAATCTTTTCACCTATAATTGTAAATTGATACGCAGAAATATACATTGATTAAATCTACTACCTTCATTAACAACCATACCCTTACAGTTATAGTAATCGTAATTTTAAGTTATTATACAGATATTCTCTGATAACAATTCATAAATTTTAACTTCTGATGTAATGTACTGATACATTACAATTTTTTCTGCTGTCGTTTGATGAGAACATCTTTGTCCATTGGAGAGATTATAGCTCCCATCTTTGTCCTTACAGATGGTTTAATAAGTTTACGGTGAGCACTTTCTGGGATGAAAGTATTGCTAATTGGTGCCCGTACACTAGCCTCAAAGTCCTTGACACTTGTAAATGGGAAAGGCAATTCGCTGACCTACAAAATAATAAGACAATTTTTAACAATTGCAGTTTGTACTGGATTCATTGAATACAAAAGATCTCTTAAATCAAAAAGGGTTTCTATTGTAACATACCTGGTGAGCTCTTGCTGCTGAGTCTTCAGTATCATTAATTATCAAATTTCCCTTGTTCTCATCACGACGGGGTGGTGGTTTTGGCATTTCCACAATAAACCTCTTGCGTTTACGTTGATTTGGTTTGATATTATGTCCTCCCCAATCACCCCAGCCGGGTAAATGCAAGTTAATATCTTCCGGCTTACTCTTATTAATTGCATCTTGCTTTTCCTGGCTGCAGGGCAAACGTAAGTGGTCTTTACGCAACTAATAAAAAACAAAGGCAAGGGAAAGCAATTGTTAGCTTCTTTACCCACCTGAAATCAGCGACCACATCATCATCAGCAAAAGCTTCAGAAATTGTCAGTTGCTTCTCTTTTTCACCTCCCTCATGATCACTATCATCCAGCGCCTCGTCTCCACCAGTTATTTCATCAGGTAATGCAGTCCGCAGCTTGATAGGACCAGTCTTCATAAATTTGTTTGGGTCCAATTCAGGAACTCCTGATGTCGAGGGCTAGAAAATTGAAAATGGTTATAATTTTAGATAAGTGTGAAAATCATCAATAACATTGAAGTAAGAAGGAAGGCCCACCTTGTCATTGGAAAGATTGGATTTTGCAAGTTGAATTTTTTCAGTCAGCTCACTGACAAAATCACCATTTGTAGTTGAACCTTCATCCAATTTTTCATCAAGATCGATCTGGACCTTTTGACGTTTCATTTCCAGAAGGTTAGATGTATCAGAAGCATTGGTTTTCCTCTTTTCTTTTTTTCCTTTTCTAGGTAGGTTTGTTTGTGGTATCAACTGTTCTTTTAAATTAGAAATCTTCAGTTTAGCTTTTTCAGTAATCTTTTCGTGCAAGCCATCAAACATGTCAACCAGGCTGCGGACATTAACTACTTGTGTTTCCAATGGAGTAACTTCCCATTTCCCACAAGATGCAGTAACAGTCTTCTTTCCAGCTTTAGCTTTAATTGCCATCAAGGTTTTTTTGATTTTCTTTACCTTCTTCATTTTAGAGGGAGAATTGGATTCTGGTTTAGAATCTGGAGGGTTCATTTGTGCAAAGCTATTTTCATTATTTTGTTTGATCTCTGAATAGGAAACTACAGCAGTTTTAAGAAGAGCCTGAGCTTTAGGATCTTCCAATTCAACATCAAGTACAGACACAGTATCAGACGCCTTTTCTCCTGGAGTTGAATCTGCATTTGTGCCAACAATTGTGTCCTTTTGATTCTCTTTTGCCTTTTCATTCCAATATTTTCGGTATCCACTTAAGAACACATCTACATCTGCTTCAGATTTTGTTTGGGCAATCCATGGATTGTCAGAAACTGCTGATTCAGGCTCCACAACCAGTTCTTCATCACTACTTTCTGAGTCAGCTTGAATTTTTTGAGTAAGATCTTTACTGATCTTGAGCTGTTCTGCCAGAACTTGGCGACTCTCTTTATCATATTTGGCACGAACTGCTTGGTTTTTTGCCCATTGGCCTGTTGACTTATGCCGCAAAGAAGCTCTTTCCAAAACCCTTTCCTTTTCAATTTCTTCTAGACGTTCCAGTGCTGCTTCAGGATCTTTCTGTTGGAGCTCTTCAAATTCTTTTATTTGCTTACGAATCTTTTCACGGCGAGCAATTCGGTGAAACCTATAAAATAAGGATTAAAAGTTTGTAACTAAACAAAAATATGAGTCAAGTTAAGAAAATATCATGGTTTCGTACTTCTTGCTTTTAATTTTGTTTTGTCTATGGGCTTTTGCTTGTCGGTAGGATTCTTGAGCTTTTATTCTGGCAAGCTCTTTTCGCCGCTGAATCATTTCTTCTAAACTTAAGGGGTACTCTTCTTTTTCCTGTAAAAAACAATAGAGCTTACTTAGATATCTTGGATATGCAAAGGTCAAGTTGATTCTAATACCAAATGAAATCAAAGTATTTAATAATCAGAAATGCATATAAGTAGGTGCATCAAGGTTTGTTTGGTTTTAAGAGGGGGTTGAAAAAACTATTTTGGCATCAAACTTACTTCTCTCTCCTTTTGAACAGATGGACTATCATTCAGAACTGCAGCAATCTGTCTCTCTAATTCAGTTGCTCCCTAAAAAGACAATGATATGTTAAAATATATTGAAGAAATTGTCAGCATACAAGCAACTAAAAACAGAAAATTACCTGATGAGGAGACAGAAACTCCTCAGGGTTGAGCCGAGTTCCCTTCGAACTTTTAAGAGGAAACACAAGGTCATCAGAGATCCTGTTTCTCAGTACTACAGGGTCCCACTGACTAAGTTGCTCTTTAACATTTTCAAATCCAACTTCTCGTCTTATCTATACAATCAATAAAGAAATGGCTATACATTACGGTTTAGGGTTAATAGAAATAACATTTAAACCACAATACCAAAATACCTTATTTGCAGCTGGTTTTTCAAGGGGTTTTGGTAGAGTTTTGGATTTTTTCTGAGTAGCTTTGAGTTTGCGTGCAATTTCTCCATGACTTGCTTTGAGGCTTAAGGACTTAGCAAGATCTCGTAAATGAACTGCATTCACATCAGAACTAGTTTCTTTCGAGAGGTGAAATTCTGACACCTGTAAACTTGGTTCTCTTCTCTCTGAAGGAAGCACTCTACAAAATCAAGAAAAGAGGAAAATTTAAACAGGAACTGAAAGGTTTCTTGAAGAATGGCACAAATAGACTAATGCACTACCTTTTTCTTTTATCTAATTTTGAGATTGCAGTAAGCAGCCGCTTGTGCTCCTCGTCACCTCCATCATCAGAATCCGAGTAGTTGTTAAAATCAAAATCCTCCATGTCGACAGTCATTCTGGGCTGTAATTTTTAAGTTTCGAGGTATTACACACTAGAATATGGGGAAAGAACCTAACCTTTAAGCGTAGTGTTTTGAGATTCCCATTAGATTGGGGAAATATTTGAAAAAAAAAACATTTCCAAGAGAGAGATGTAGGAGAATTGATGAAATTTGCGGGTTTTAGGGAATTTATACCATAATAAAAAGGGCATTACGACTTCTGTTCAACGTGGATTGGTAAGGTTAGAAAGTTAACGATTAACAAAAAATAGTTCTCCTGTCTATCAATGAACAAGTTAGAGAGCGAAATGAACATGAACAGAGCTCACCAGTAATTCCTAAAACAGCAGGAAAGTTCCACCAATGGACACTTATCATCAAACAATAAAGAAATACAAATCGAACAACCTAACCCTGCACTGGACGAAACAACAGCAGACCATACTACACGAAAATTTTTCATATCCCGTATTTCCCCAGTTTGTTTTCATACACTTGGTGGCAAATTCAAAAGTCGCGCCCAGAGAAGGGATTTTGGATGATAGGTGATCCTTCTGAAAAGGATGATCCAAATGATTGTCAGTGCCATGCCGCAGAAAAGTGGAATTCTCATTTGAAATTGGAACTTAATGGGTCAACGTCTTTCATGGAATGGGAGTTATACCCAGGATTAAAAAATCATCAGTGACTATCACTGGAAAGTGGAATAGAAAATGGAAAATTAATTACAATTTCGATTGAGATAGTTCTTTTATTGCAATAATTTTAGTACAAAAGGGAGATTTAAGTAGGATGGTCATGATCAGGTTCACCACTGCCACCATGAACTGTATTCAAGTGTCGTTTAAGGTGCTGTTTACGGCTGAGGATAACAAAGCAGATTGGACACTGTGTGCTGCCTTTATGAACACTCCGATGTGATGAAAGTGAGTTCTCTCTTGCAAAGTCTTTGCCGCATATGTTGCAGACATACCTCCTCGGAGTCCCTAAAAGAAAAAAAAATCCAATGAGATGCTTTTCAATGAAACAGTTCGGTTGGTACTGTGACCAACAGCTCACTTCAAAGCTGAACCAGCTTCACATACGATTGATACATGAGATAGTTTGAACTCAATGATACGTTTTTGCAACAAACAGAACATAGACATGCAAAACAAGGCATAATGAGAATGTGTCAAGTAAAATCTTTTCTTTTTTTATTACGAACCACATTGCAACAAGAACTGTTTGAGATAATAAAAACAATAGATAAAATTTACTTTAAGGCAGACTGCAAAAAACGAAATTATGTCTAGAAAGATGGGGGTTGTTTGGCGTGGCCAGAGGTATCCATTCCATGGACGACGAGCATGTGTCTCTTGAGGTGGCTCTTACGGCTCAGCACCACCATGCACAGTGAGCACTGGGTAGTGCCTCGGTGAACATTGCGGTGAGAGGACAGCGAGTCCTCTCGTGTGAAAGCCTTGCCACACACGTTGCACAGGAACTTCTTCGGATGTCCTGCACACACACACATACACAAGTGAGCAAAGGAATGCGTTTTACAAAGACAAATGTTGGAAGAAGAGAGGAAGGCGAGGAAACAAGATTTGGATTGTTTGCAACTCGATGATATATGATCGACACAGAAACTTTATATTTAATGAAAAGTACAGGTTGACTGATATCGATACAAGTGCAATAGGTAACTGAAATTCTCTCCAACTTTGTCGGAATGAATATGAAAAGAGAAAGCTTAAACATATGACTAGCTTATACATCATTGGCACTACTGCTTTGAAACTGACACATCACACACACAATATTAATAATAATACTGGCACATTCTCTAAAATACAGACACAGGTAGCTTTGAGAGACGGCAATCATCACAATATATTCAGGTATTCAATGAGCCATCATGGGCAAAGTTCGTGAGAGAAAATGGAAGATGAGATTCAGGAAAGATGATGGACACCACGGCGCGAGCGCTGGCGCAGCTGGCTCGGCTGGCTCAGGGCAAGGGGCAACGTAGGCCCGCCCGCGCGGCCGGCGTGCGCGCCGGGTCTGTCTACCCCCGGCTTCGCAGGCGCCAAGGCCCTGCCGGGGGGCGGGGCGCTCAGGAGGCCCTCACTGCGCGGCCGCCTGGTCGGCCTGCACGTTGTGCACCGCGGCCAGGTGCCGGAACAGGTGCGCGCGCCGGCTCAGCACCGTGTAGCAGATGGGGCAGCGGGTGGCGCCCTTGTGCACGCTGACGTGCTGCCGCAGCGAGCGGCGCGCGTAGAACGTCTTGCCGCAGAGCGCGCACTCGTACCGCCCGGACGCGTTCGCCGCCGCCGCCGCCGAGGGGGCCTCATGCAGAGTCGGCGGCGACCCGAAGGCCGAGCCAAAGGACGAGCCCGCCGTCAGAAAGTCTGCAACACCACAGAGCGTTAGACGCGGGGGCCGTGGCGGAGGTGGCCGTCGGGATGGTCAAGGAGGTGGTGGTCATATTATCAGAGAGGGATTTCAGCTGGCGTTATTTATTGATGACAAGAATACAAGCTGGTCATGAATTACAAAACAAAACTAAAACAAGAAAACAAAGACTGTCAGTTTGGGAGTGCAGCGGGTTGCGGGTAGCGCTTGCCGCGGCCCGCGCCCGCCTGGAGCAGCACGGCGACCTGCTCGGCCGGCAGAACGTGCACCGTCTGCAGGTGCTCCTTGAGGTACGAGCGGCGGTTGAAGACGCGCAGGCACACGGGGCAGCGCGTCGCGCCGCGGTGCACGGTCCGGTGCTTGGCCAGCGAGTTGCGGTGGTTGAAGCCCTTGCCGCAGACCTGGCACGAGAAGGGGCGCGCCGCCCGGGACGAGGAGGCGGCGGCGGTGGCGGCGGCGGCCGCGGCGGCAGCAGCGTCGGGGGTCCAGCTCCAAGCCTCTGCCTCTGCCAACACAACCAGCGCGACACGCCAACGTCAACAAGTGCGTGGAGGTCCCCGCCCTCTACACCCCGCCGATGCCGCCGGCTCCGCCCGCGCTCACGCCGCCGCCACAGTGCACGGCGTCCACGTGCCGCTTGAGGTAGTCGATGGAGCTCAGGACGGCGCCGCACAGCGCGCACACGGTCGTGCCCCGGTGCACGTGCTGGTGCTTGCTCAGCGAGCTGCGGTGGCGGAAGCGCTTGCCGCAGGTGCGACACACGTGGTGGCCGGGCGGGGGCCGCGAGGGCTTGCGCGCGGGGCCGGCGGCGCCTGCGGACAACACAGCAGTGAGGAGGGGATTACTTTTGCCCGTACGCCCCCTTCCACCCCGTCAAGCGCGTCGTGCCCCCCGGGGTCGTCCTTCTAACTCTATCTAGCTCTCAAGAGCACAAACAAACAAAAATGGCCCGGTGAATAACATTTAACACTACAAGCTGTTTTTCTTTCTTTTATTGAACAGGAAGCGGTGAGACACAAAGTTTGGATCCTATCTCTGGTGCGCGCTCGCCAAGTGTCGCCGCAGCTGACTCGCTCTCAGCCCTACTCTGCAGATGGGACAGGTGGTGGGCGCGCTGGCGGCGCTGGTGGCGCTGGCGACGGAGTCGGCGCCGTGCACCGTGGCCAGGTGGCGCCGCAGGTAGCCCTTGCGGTTCAGCACGGCCTGGCAGATGGGACAGGTCGTGGCGCCGCGGTGCACGCTGCGGTGCTTGTACAGCGAGTCGCGGATCTGGAAGCCCTTGCCGCAGATGTCGCACTGGAAGGGGGACGCAGCTGCAGCTGCTGGGCCAGCTGCTCCCACCTGTGAGGGCAGGGCCAGCGGCGCCTCGAGCCACGGGGCTGCAACACCATGCACGCACGCTCACCACCTGTCGTAACTGCGGCACCACGGGGGTGAGTGAGAGAGAGAGAGGCAGCCGCAAGAGAGACAGAGAGAGGGTTGGATTGATCAAAACATGCTTTCCGAATCTTAGTAGACTGATTCTGATTTCGGCTTCGGTAGCTTACACAAGCGGTATGAGGTTTAGTGTGCTGCATCTAGGCTGCATGGACCGAGGTACGGGACACGGTTAGCGGGGGGCGCATGCTCAAGACCTGCAAGCCCAGCTTGAAGGTGAAGAGAGGAAGCAAAAAGAGTTTACACGCAGAAGAGGTGGAAAGAGTAGGCTGTCGCCAGAAGAGAGGAACAAACGTAAACTGGATGGACCTTCCGTTTATTGTTTTCGTTACGTCTGAAAACCGAAGGAAAAGGCGCGAGACATATGAAGAGGTGGTTGTTCACTTGATGCCGTGGGCGGTGAACAGGTGGCACTTCATGGTGTACTTCCTGGTGAAGAGCACGCCGCAGACCGGGCACCGGGTCTGCCCCGTGTGGATGGTCTTGTGGTGCGCCAGCGAGTCGTTGCGGCTGAAGGTCCTCCCGCAGGTGCCGCAGCGGAAGGGCCCGGTGCCCGGCCCGCCGCCGGCGACGGCCACGTCCCGGAGGAGCGAGGAGGACGGCGACGACGAGGACGACCCCGACATGCCGCGGCCAGCGCGCCCGAGCGGCAGCTCCGACGCGACCCACTGCAGAGCTGCACCATGCACACACACACACACACAGTCGGGAATCCGTTTGACAAAAGACCCTAAGCGCCATCAGGCCGGCCTCTGGAATGAAGGGTAGAGGGTGTGGAGTGGGAAGCGGAAGCGGTCGAGTGGCGGCGGTCGGCCCTCCTGTGCCCGGAAGTATGGCTGGCCTTCCGGAAGACAGCTAGGTATTTCTCCAAGTCACTGTAGTAGTGTCGCTCGACATGAATAAAAGCAGATTTCCACTCACTTTCAAGTGTATGAGTATTTTATTTCTTTTTTGACAGACATATTTCAAAAAAGCGCACACATTTTGTATTTT